CCTTCCTTCCTTCCTTCCTTCCTTCCTTCCTTTCTTTTCTGGCCTGCAGACTTCTTGGCAATGGCGCCAGGGCTTGTTTGCCATCGCAGCTGTTGGGGAAGCTTAGTGTGCCTGTACTCTGAGGGATCCACATGCAAGAAATTGTGGGGACTTTTTGCTTGCTTTCCCAGGCTCTGATGCAAGGTGCAAGTTGTTGTCACCCCAGTGGCTGCTGCATTTCAGCCAAAACATCGGGGTAGGTGAGCAAGCCCAGCGGAGAATCTCATGCCTGATTAATCTGAATCCAGGCCTGGAGGGCGCTTTGGACTCTCTTTCTGCGCTGTGATCCCCCCCCATGCACCTTTGATGCTTTATTCGCGGCAACTGCATCAGGAGCCCCCGCCAAGCCCTACAGGAAGCATGCAGAGGGCCGCTGCGTGGAGCGCCACCCCTGGAGGGGCTGCCCGCAGGTGCGCGTCAAGTGAGACGTGCTCATCCTTTGGTTTTTTAGTCCTGTGAAATAAGGACCAGCCACCTGGTTATGTTAATTTTCTCTTTACGCAAAAGCTGAGCGCTGACTGGATTGCGTCTCGGTTGTGCTTCCTTTTTCCCCACGCGCTGGTGTCTGCCCCAGTTTTTGTAGATGGCTGCAAGGAGGCATGACATGGTTGCCCTACTCCCCACCCTCCAAGTGCTGCAGGAGCTGGGGGGGCTCTGAGCGTGAAATCTGCTTAAACATCCGAGAGGGGAGCTTGGGCTCGGGTGGTTACCCTGCCGTGGCTACCCGTGGCTTCCACACACAAACAAAATGCTGCTTACGACCTATAAAGACCTACCTAATGTAGGGCAGCCCACATTCTTCCAACAAGCAAAGGCCCTCAGTGGAGCCCCCCCCCCATGTCCCATCACTGTCGCAAAGACGTGGCTGCCTCCCCTTCCTCTGGGACTCCCCCAAGGAGGGCCAGGCTGGCTCCATCTCGGCCGACCTCAGCAAGCAAGGCCCCTTTTGTTCAGACGCTAAGCTGGCTGGCTGTCCAAATAGGCTGTCGTGAGCCTTTTGCTGGGCGTGCTTTTTTGCCTGCTTTAACTGCAGCGTCATTATTTTATCCGTACTTTACGGTTACCCACTCTGAGCACTGTAATTAGTGGGAATGCTGGATTTAAGCGTAATGAGTGAGTGTCCCAGAAAATCATCCTGTATCTATAGACGCCCATAGCTCCGTGGTCTCCCTCCTTCAAGGCCCCTCTGGGGAGCATCTCCCTGGAACGTCTCTCGGTCTGGTCTCCTTCCCTGCCCTTGACCTCCCTGCCTTGTCCAGCAGACAGAGTCGCAAGCGGCCGCTCTCTTCTCTGCACGTCGCGCCACTGGCCTTGAGTGAGCCTGCGAAGGTAACGGGGCTTCCAGGAGGAGCAGGAGGTAGAGACGGAGTGCAGATCCAGGGAGAGGAATGAGTCATTTTATCTCAAAGGAAAATTAGGAAGAAGATTTAAAGCAACAGGGGAGTGAATATCTGCCCCAAAGATAGCCGGGATACTAAAAGAGCTGATTAGTATTTTTTTAAAAACTTGATGTATTTATGAGTAACGTCTAATCTTTTGGCCTGAGGCACTACGTCACCCACAGAGGTCTGGAATTTGGGAAATTGAGCAGCGCTACAAGTCTAAGGCTTCTTTACCTGTAGACTTTCCTTTCTGTTCTCTTGTCATATACTTTAACTCTACTGGAACTGGATCACGTCTCACATCCACATGACCAAAAGGCACAAGGTGGATCTTGTGGTGCTCCTTGTTCACGGTCCCTGCTGTTTGGGGCAGCGTTTTTGGAAGTGCTTGCCGGTATCTTCTTCCTAGGGCTGGGAGAGGAAAACAGGTCCCAAAGTCACCCAGCTGGGTTTGTATCCACAGGAGGACTAGAACTCACCGCCTGCTGGCTTCCTCTCCAGCATCTTTAACCACTGCACCTAACTGGCCCTGGGGCATGAAGAATCTTGGTTTTTATTTCTGTATCTATAATCCAGCTACACAGAGCCGAGATGAAAGCCCCTCACAGAGGGGGTCAGAAAAAGCTCTTTACTTTGCTTCTCAAATGCAGGAAACATGACAGCTTCCTCAGCTTGGGCAGTTTGATGTGGGTTAAATGGGAGAATCTCCCAAATGTAAGAACATTTGGATTTAGATGGCTGGTATGGAGTCTCTTTTCTACAAGGGTTTATTGTTGGACAGATCTCTGCTGGCAAAGTCTTAGACCAAAATCTTTTGGGGAGGGGTGTCCGCCAGGTTTGTACCCCATGACCCTTGCCATCCTCTTGCTGGCCTGGAGATGCCCCCGGGACTGGTAGGAGGTGTTGACAGCCATACCCTACTGTTTAATGGCCCACAAGGGGAAGGGGGCACCTGGAACAGAGAGTGGCCTGGGCAAGACGGGCCACATCTGTCTCCTTGACTTTGGCAAACAGCTGAATTGGGAGCCCCGTCTTGTCCAGGCCATTCTGTGTTCCAGGTGCCCCCCCTTTCCCCTCGTGGGTTATAAATACATTCCCTCAGTCCATCCAGCACACTGTATCAATCTTGTTTAATAGACTGGAAAGCTTAATGCGCAGTGGCGGGTCACGGGGAGCATCGGGGTGATAGATTGTGCCTTCCCGGAGTCGAGCACCGTTGATGTATAATGAAATATTTATGATTTATTCCAGCTAATAAACTGGAATGAAGTGTGTGATAGATGTGAGCAGATGGGGAACTATTGATGCAGTTTTCATTTGGGGCGTGTGGGGAGGTTTCTGTCCATAACACACACGCACATCACAAACCGTGAGTGCCATAAACTCTACCTCTCGCGTGGCTGTTGTGGGGACAGCGATTCCCCGCCCCTCATTCATCTCTTCCCTCCTAATT